ACAAGATGTAGCTATTGGCTTATTTAGCTAACTTCCTCTCACCTCAGCTGCTATACCTGAACTTAATGACATCTTGGACCGAGTCCCCTTCTTCCATGGATTTTAGTACTTGATAACTGAGAATGTTTGAAACGGTCTTTGTGAGCTGATCTCGTAGCAAATTAGTTCAAATGTTCTTCCTTTTGCCAAATAGGGACTTTTGATGCAAAGTTATTATGAATGTCCCACACCGACAGATTTTTAACTCCCATTTCACCCTTAAATGTCCGATCATCAATGATTTAACCGTGCTTGTGGATTATTTATTTGTTAACCTTAATGTTGTTTGATTTTAAATTAACCTGGTGTTCTAGGTTAATTCTGTCTGATCACCATGGGCGATGATAATCAGTCTTTTCCTCCATTGTGATTGTTTTTAACTCTCCGCCAGAACTAAAGGAATCGTAGTTTTAAACAGAAACAGGCTGTGATGTTAAAACACTGTCCACTGATATGTAACTAATGAGCACACAATTTCCCCATCATCATCTTCCATTAAATGTGTTTGCTCACTCATCTCTTCTGGCTGACACGGGTCAAAGTTCAAGGGTTACATTTGTATTTTCTTCCTCAAATATGCAGGTAACTGTTTTAGTAATTTTATTGAAGATAAAGGCTGATCCTAATACAATTGACCAAAGTATCCAAAAACATAAAGTCACTGAACAAATCCCTTAACAACGATGAATGAACATTTCTAATTTAAAAAGGTAAAAGACCAAATCCAACCTTACATTGAAGAGACTAGAGACAATTACCTGTACATGAATGCCATTTTATTTTGGCTAAACTTGTGCATCAAATGAGAAAACAAGGTGTCTGGAATAGATGATGTGGACAGGAAAACTGAAATGGTTTATTCATAACACGTTGAGTATTTAACCTAAACTTTGTGCCCCAATTACACCTGGAAGCAACATGCTATTTGTATCTGGATGCTGACATCCCATCTAAGGGCCTACAGCTAGAAATATGAAACATGATCAGTGTGAGGGAATAAGTTCTGCTGAGTTATGCCAGGTCAGGGGGGAAAGCCATTGATGGGCACCAGCTGCTTTAATTCCCTTTTTGCCAGGATGACTTCCTTCCTACTGTCTTAGTTTCCTTGCAGAGAGTTAAATGCATTTTCAATTAGCTGGGCAGAGTTATTTATAGAATTTTTCCGAATTTGGTCGGGCTGCACAGAGTACATTTACTCTTGTATGAGATTTCAATGCAAATCAGACAAGCTTCTGATGTTATGGCACTTTGATCATCATAGTGCATCCTGCATACAATTACACCGTGCGTAGCATATCCTAATAAAGACTGCATTGAGTTTAACAACTAACATGAATAAGATGAGCCATTAAAACACGTTTCAATACTGCTTTTTTTTAGCAGATAACTGTCAAACTACATATTGGCTCAAGGACGGAAACCTTCAAAATACTAACATGTTGAAATAAGAACCTTAACACAAAGAATAAAACATATTTCCTTAGTGAACCATCTCTGCCTTTAGAAAACAATACAAAACCTCTCACTTGCATCAGATGGTGTTCTGATGGGTGTGATTATAACAAGAAGGGTGACATCTTACAGTGTAGTTGACACGGCTTCACAGAGTCCAGAGTTAATATAACCAACCTGAACGAAGGCAGCAGAAGTTCAGCAGTTTTAGTCCAGTGTGTCAGAGGTTGAAAAAGAAAACTGGAGCATATTTCAACTCGGCCTCACTGCTTGGCTGAGCTGCTTTGTCTACGTGTTGTATCTTTTCATTCTATCTGGAAATCTTCTTCCTCATCATCCAGCAGGTTAGTCCATTTTGAGCTGCTGCTGCAGAAACAGCACGTCTGGTTGACCATGAGCTTTAGTCCTATGACTCGTTTTCCCACGGTACACTGTCTGTTGCATTCCCGGCACTTCTTCAACAGCTGAAGGAGGCACTCTTCATCAACAATGAACTCTGATGAGCTGAGGGAGATAGAAAAGACACAACATAACCTTAATAACAGGTCTTATTTCAATGTATAATGTAAATAAAGTAATGGATTGAGAAAATCTTATGAGAAAGGTTCAATTTAACAGTTTTTTTTAACATCATCACACCTCCCCAAATCCACCAGGTAGCGTCCGTCTCCCACACTTAACGAAGTGCTGAATTCTTCATCTTCTTCAATATCTGTGTGGATTCATTTTAGACCTATCAGTTATGACTTCACCTTTTCCTGTTAACAATTATCTTGCAATCTTTTGACTTTTTTTTTTGCTAGTGAAGGGCTGTGTGTATGTGACTCACCTCTATTTTCTGACTTGAGGGTTGTCGCACACTTATCTTCAGTATTGATTGATTGACTCGAGGCATCTTTTGTCCCTGACTCCTTAAAATGGGACAAGGAGCAGCAAGCATCATCATGCTGCTTAGTTAAACACAGGCAACACAATTGGTGCTGGAGAGAAATTGTTTGTATCGAAGATGTAAAACAATCGTATTTACCTTTTCAGTTTCAGGTGTCTGGACAGAAGGAGCAGCGAAAGTATCTTGCTTGACTTCATTTGATAAACTAAAAAGAGAAGCACTAGGGTTTACAATAAACTACCTCATGTCATCCAGCAGCATGTTGTGTTGACATGTCATTCATAATCACTCTGTAAATGACGTAACAAAGTTGCCTTAATTAAAAAGAACAACGCAATTAATTTCATAGTTAAATTCAATAAATAAATACTTTATTTCATGTAATATTATAATCGTTAAATATGGCATGATTTAATACAGTTTGTTTTATATGTTAAACCAATATGCGTAAGTGTTTGTTGTTTCCTGTGCCTAGGAACTAATGTTTGTTGATACACTGGACAACTCAACGTGGTTTGACGTCTTTATTTGAAGCTCTGCTGAAGTCTGTGACAAAGTTTTAATTTGACAAAGTTATACGGAAAAGGTACTTTAAGATTAATCTCCTTTCACGACAAGCGGCCAACGAGGTATTTGTTTTATGTTTTCATGTTTCCTATTTTCATTCATATATGTGTAGCACAATATGCTAATATGTTTGGCTATGTATACGTGTAATTCGTTTGTTGTAGTTCTCACGACGTAACTGAAGAGGGGAGGCTACAAGATGAAAAGTCCAAGAAATAAACGCCCGTTTTAAAGAACCGACCTGTGTCTGTGTCGTGAAGAGAGCTACATACTCTATAATCCAAATGTACATGAAAAGGCAAAACATGTCAGCAACACTATGAGGAAGTGACAGCTGTGGAAGTAAAAGTAGCAACAGTGTAAACAAATAGTAAATAATACAAAAGTATCTGTATGCAAATATACTTACAGTACCAAAAGTAAAAGGTACACATGATGTAGATTTTCTTAGAATAAAATATTACTAATACTAAATATATATAATGATATACTATTGTACTGTTTATTGAAAGTTGTATTCATTTATTAAAGTAAAGTACAAGAGGCTCAAACCTGGGATTAAGCAGCTTTTGCGTCTTCACAGCAGGTTCAGGAGGCTCTGAGTGTCTTTCTTCCATTTCTTCACACTTTCGGAGGGCTGTCTGCTATTAGCTAAAACATAATGAATATAGGAAAAGCGAAGTCTTTAGCCACAACCACATTTTACATCAATCTACTACTGAATGAAATCAATGTATTTATGAAAACTATTCAATATTACAGCTGATTAATTAAAACGAAGTATATTAACTTCATAATGTGTATATAATTACAAAACTAATTGACACATTCATCAAAAATGTTTCACTAAAAAGTTGAAATATTAATTAAAATCATATTTAAAAACAGTTTTCCCAGTTTAATTTTTGTCTACTTTATATATTGTTTTCAAAGTTAAACCATAGCTTACATATTGAAGACACATACAACAAAACAAAAAGGTAAACAAACAAGTCACATGGAAAAAGCTAAATTATTATGCTGATTTATTGTAAATTAGCTAACGTCAGAAACCACTCAGGGAGCTCAGATCACGTGTGTCTTTCGCGCCACTGAATAAAACCACTTCCGCCTCCTGTTAATGACGCAGCGGGAAAATCATCTGACTGCGTGAGTGTTTCTCAATCGCGAGTAAAGCTGCTTCAAGCATACTACGTCATATAGAGTGCCGCCGAAGTACTGTTCCAATCTCCAGCATACTTGGAAATCTACCGAGCCCGGCGTACTTCGTAGCGAGAAATTTCGAGGCTGCACATGTGTAGACTCCGCGCCGCGGTCTTAAAATCCCCACAATGCTTTCGGAGGGACCCGTTTACAGCCCCAAGGTCCTAACAGCGAGACCCCTCCTGAACTCCATCATAATGTCAGGGATATAACACTCCTGTGTAAAATGATATCTTCACAGCACCATGTCTTCATTTACAGAAGCAGCGCTGAAGCCCTCTCTCTTCGCCCGCACACAGCGCAGCCAGGCGGGGAACACAGCTCCGTCCCTCCCGGTGGAAACAGTGCAGCCGGTGTCCTGACAGGCCGCAGTTTACGCAACCCACATACATACACAATATTTCACCATGGTGAATTGAAGATAATACGGAAAGATATCATCTTACTCACTAAAAACTGCTACCAACTGCACATCATTTGAAGCTAGCCGAGTTAGCCACTCCCCCTTTTAACGTAAAATGATGCGATGTTTACTTTACGTGACTTTTTTCTCTGTATTTCTGTGAAAGGCCATCAGAGGTGGGAGAAGTACTCAGATTGTGTACTACAGTAAAAGTAGAAATACCAAAGGTTAGGAATACTCTGTTACAACAATACTGTATTCAAAATGTTACTCAAGTAAAAGTACAGTATTAAAAAGGTGTAATTTAAATTACCTTACAGAACGAAATACAGTAGGTCATATAAAACATAATGCTGTGGTCCAAAGAGCCAAGTTTATATAAGATAGAAATAAATTGAATCTTCTGCTCAACTTACTCATCAGAACAAAAGACAGTAGTACACGTGGTTCTATAAAACATAATGCTGTGAGGTTCAAACAGCATAGTTTTATTGCTCAGCTTTCTGCAAGGGTACAAGAAGTGTATTACTTTGCTTCTTTATTGTCCTTATGTACAGGTGTCAGTTACAAGCTCACAGAGCAGCTGATGTGAAAAACTATGAACACATTTACTGTAATAATAAATACAAAAACAGATAGGAAATCAAAAGAAATAAAAACATGGTGCAGTTTAAAAAAAAGATTTCTGTTTTGTACTGAATTCAATCAAAAGTCATTTACACACACACACTTACAAATGAATTTGCACATAAACCTGTACATTTGCACTTAAAAGAGTAGGGAGAGAGTTAGCTGAGCATTGTTCTAGTTTGTAACCAATTAAACCATCATTTAAGAAAATCCTTTTGACCAGAACTGGCTCTCAATCCATTTCAACAATTCATCAGATCAGTTAAGAGTAGACAAATATCTCTTTATATCACAGGCGTTCAAAGCTTGGCTGCTTAACTGGGGAGATTTCCCCTCGTCTGGAAGCTCAAAACCCCCACAACTTTTGCACTGAAGACTGAACCAGCCAGAAAACTTTGTGCCAACAAGTAACAAAGAGTAGAAGTGGACTGTGTGCACTGGACAAACATACATGTGTGCATATCAAGATCATGTGTGTATTCATATATACGTTATCTACATAGGAAAAAAAAAAACCTTAACCAGTCCATTAACTATTTGGTAAATAGAAGGAAGTGTCTGATTATAACTTGGAGCCCAAGTATGCATAATGTGTGCAAAAAAAGGTGTAATGCATTTCTCTTCTGCCTCTGAGTCAGGTTATTAAAGGATCAATCAAATAAACTCTCTGCAACTGTACAAAGACAATTTCATGTTCAGTTTCTCCGTTTTGTCTCATGATGACCACAAAATAAAATGTTCTGAAAATCAGCTAACAGACTGTTCATGGTTACAGATAAATGCAGGCAGTATACATATACAAAAAAAACAACATTTAAACTGATTTTTCCAAGTCAAAACGTTTTTTTAGAGTGTTAATTATGCAAATAAATAGGCTTTAACTCTCGAGCGTCCATTCATGCAGAAGGGTTTCTTTGGATGGGCAGAGGCCGTCTTAATGTTATGTTTCCGACTTTTCACCATGTAGCACCCCGGAAATCAGCAGCAGACAACCTCAAACATTTGAAGCTCTGAGGGTTTGAGGCCGCCGGCAGCATTCAGTCCGTTTTCTTTATTTAAAAAAAATGGTATGTTGCAAACAGAGAGCTCCTGTTCAAATGTTCAGCGGTGACACAGACCCCCAGAGCATCAAATCTGGCCATTCATGTCCTCCTATGAAGGCATGTGTGTGTTTATAAGTAAGAGTGATTGACCAAAAGGAAAATGTCACTTTAAACGGTGGACCTTTACACTATCATGGGTTTAAAGAGCCTCTGAAATATATTTGCCATTACAACCAGTATTACCCCTCCTCACACACTAGCCTAATAAATGTAAAAAAGTAAAACAAGGGACAACTTCACCTGAGAATGCAAAGAGGTCTGTGACAGACACCAACATGCTTGCATTTAAATTGAACAGAAAGAACAAGCAACCATATACAAAATAGCTATGTATTTGTACATATATACTCAAAAGTTACAGGTGTGTAGATACTCTGTATATTTCTAATGGACTCCAATAGCAAATGAAACATGATATATTTTTTATCTAACGTGAAGAAAGCACTCCTGCAAGCCGCTGCTCAGTTTGTAAAGTGCTCTAAAGTGACGAGAGAAAGAAATACTTCTGCCTTTTAAACTGACGACGAGACTAAAAATGGACGCCTGCCTTGAATAGCTTATTTCAAGCCTGGTCCCTTGGACAGTTGTGCCCTTTTCACATATGGTCTGACAGGAAGTGTGTTGGGTGATTTTGGGTTGGATTAAAAACTAAATGCAAGAAGAAAAAAAAAAAACATGCATCATTTCAACTGCTGGAGACCAATGTGTAGAGAACAGGAATACAAACCATGCTCAAAAAGAGTTTCAATCAGCATCCTGTGAGAGGATGGGAAACCCATCTTTAAACTTCCTAGCATACTTATGTTTGCACATGCAGACGCATACAGACACACATTTACAAGAGCTGTGGCCACACTGCAGTGATTAAGGGAAAACAATAATATTCACACCTTCTTCTTCACCAGAGTCTGTCCCTCTAGCTTAAAACAACCCACCACAAGCTCCAATCACAAACGCAACCAAACATCAGACCCATATCCAAGTAGAGCTCCACTTCAAAATGATATATTCACACTTTGAATTGTTTTGGATGGTTATGCAGTTGAGACATCGCCGCTAATATGGAAACCTAGTTTATTATGGAGCATTGATGTAAAAATCAAAGACTGTCCATAGCATTTTAAGATGAAACCCTTCAAATATCGAAGCATTACAGGCGAGGTAGGATGAATGTGTCGCCTCCAACAAGAGAAGCACACACACTCTGCAGCCATGAGGAGTGGAAGCTGTGTTGGTGGAGGATCAGATGCTACTATGGGCAAGATACGGCTACCTGCAGTGTTAAAGATTCAGTAGCATGACATGAATCAATCCGTTTGAATTGCAAAACGAAAGAGCGACTCAATGCTCTCAGTTGCCTGGGGAGAAAATATGTTTTGTTTTGTTTTAAACTGTAAATTATTAAACTACTTCCTGATTTGATTAAGATCTAAAATTGAGATGACCAGGCAGTAATGTTTGTCTTTCTGTATAAACAACTCATAGCTCTCTGTATTTTGCACAATCTACAAAAAAACAAAACAATTAAATGACGGGATGAGTAGCAGCTGTTCAAACAGAATTCGATCAGGGGAGAATGTGGAGAGCGGTGAGGGCAGTCGCAGTCGCAGGCTGGTCAAAGACGCTCTGAGCGAGACATCAGTGTGTCTGTACATTTTCACACACAAACACACTCTCCAACGTGTCTCTCATTCCACTGCGAAGCCACAGGTCTCCTCGATCGCAGTCAGCAGCTTGTCGTATAGCTTGTCGTAGCTCTCGTAGGGCGGGATGTCAATCCGGTTGAAGCTGGAGAGATAACAAAGAGAATACGTTCAAATGAGTGAAGCTAGGTGAGAGGTATCACTTTTATGCATGTGGTGCGTTGTGTGTGTGTGTGCAAGTGCATGTGACACACACCAGGTATGGGCTTTGGGAAGATTGTTGGCGTTTGCATCGATCTGATGAATGGTGAAGAGTCTGGGCCCTGCAGCTCCTGCAGACAAAACACAAACAGCATGCATCAGCTGCAGTTCAGCATCAAATCCCACTGTTCATTTACCCACCAGCAATTGATCTAATAAAAGGCCTGACACTTTTTACAAGGACAATTTATCCTCTGTTCCTTGAGCCAGATGGCTGCTTTTCTTGGTCAAAAATATGCTCCTGAAATGAACTGTGGCCTCAGATTGGTAACATTTAAACTCAACATAAAAACATAGATTAATCCAAATGTTTATTTTAGGATTTAACAACAATATTCTGTCATAATTGGAGTATAATCTTTTTATGCATATATCGCATATATTTCAAACTTTCAAAAGACCGAGGCTACCACAGTGAAGTAACCAACTAAAAATAATATCAGGGTACAAGGTATTAAACTATTAAAATGATAACGATTATAATTATTATCAGTTACAATGACCCTCAAAGACATGAGTCTTATATACATGATAATAAAATGTTTTAATGAACCTAATACCAGTATGTTGTATAACCGAAGTATGTTAGTTGACATGTTACCAGAACTTAAGCGTAAAGGTTATTACAGGGACAGAGAGACAGAGGCTAAAATAAAAAGAGAGCCCAGAGTCAGAGGAGTACCTTGTAAAGCCTTGAAGCCCTGCAGGGGCACTCTGGAGGAGCCGGTAACAAACTGCAGCAGCCGGGCCCTCCTCTCCTCGTCAAACGTCTCCACGGCTTTCCAGAACCACTTGACGATGTTGGTTTCGGTGGTGCAGTGCTTCAGACGGGTGTTGGACTTCCAGTCAGCGATGTCGATCTTTCCCAGGCCACACACAATCAGCTGAGGGGAGACAGACACACACATATCAACTTGAGTTCATACTATACCAGAAAACTGTACCTGGAATATTTCTTGTATTTAAGAAGATGTGATAAATGATGGTGATCTTGTACCTCCAGTTCTTTCTCATCAAAGGACTTGAGCAGGTGTTGAGGGATAACCTCGTTGAAACCTTTCTGCAGAGCCAGAAACTGAGCCTCGATGCCATGCAGGAAACGCCAGTTCACATACAACCTGCAGAAAACACCAGAGGAAGGAGACCGTTAGTTTATTTAACAATTGTGGGACTGCAAATACAGATTCACCACCATGACTCACAACTAATGACAATATGACAGATTGGAAGTGTGAAAACCGTGTTTATATGAAGCCTGTCAGCTGAAACTGAACTTGTTGCTGGCGAATTGTTGTCATTTTTTAAATTTGTAGCAATCCTCTCCTTACCTGACATACTCCTTCTTGGTGTCCTCTGTGACGTTCACACTCTTGCCGTTGGGTTTGAGCTCATGTTGGATGATTTCTCCGTAGGCATTGTGCTCCACACAGAAAGTGTGGTCCAGGACGCCGTTTATGTCATTGTCCCTGAAGAGGAGAGAGGGCAGGTTCATTTCTGAATCAGCAGGAATTATTTCTCGTTGCTCTGTTTTTTAGAATTAAGGCCAACAAAACTAAGAAATACAGCAGTCTTCTACACTCCTGCCCATGTGCTTCATAGGAATTACTTTTGGCAACTGGTCGGTTATTGAGTTTTGATGATTGTCTTTGTTTGCTTAACAGACACATTTGAAATAGGTGACATTAGATTAGGTAAGGATTTCTATTAAAAGAACATTGTGTGTGAAACTCATTGCATCTAAACATCTAGCAAGGGTGTTCAATTATATAGATGGCATTTGCTTTACTGGCAGCAGGGGGCGCCACACTCATTAGAATGTATTAAATGACAGTACAGTCAGGTCTATATGTCTTTCTGAAGTATATCATGTCCCTACAGGTCTGATGTATATATGTATGATTTTCTTTCCTGTACCAGCCGTAAGCAACCACTTTCTGAAGTTATGTTCTAATGTGAAAGCATCTGTAACAGCTAGGAAGCTACTCTCCTCCATAGCTTAGAATTGTAGTATTAGCATACAGTTAAAGAAGAGATCTTTAAAATGAAGTTCTGTGTAACCTGCATTTATACCTGCTTTGATAAGTACATTTAATTAGCAAATCGTGTTAATATCAGTTTTATAATATACGTTTCCTATAATTTCATGTTGCCAGGGAAATAATTTAGAGAATAATGTATGGCCCGGTATAAAATAAGTCTTACAGGATCCAGACGAGGCTGTTGTGGAGGTCGGGGTCGACGGACTCCATGTCGTCCAGCGTGATGGGTTTCCCCAGCAGCTGTTTGTAGAAGGGCAGAGTGAAGCCTCCGTCGATGTAGTGGCCGTGGAACACCGCCATGCCCATGATGCGACCCACGAAGTGGAAGTACGACAGGTGCTCCTGCGCATCAGACAGGGATATCAATATGAAGGCTTTCATTCATATCATATCAGCTTCTGTGTTATGTAGTATATGAAGATTCACATTAATCAGCTTGAGTTTTTTACTCAAGAGATTCGTTGCTCTCTTAGACTTCATCATTATTTACAGCATGCAAAAAAATCTGATTTGTTCACATATTGAGCAAAATCCAAATACTAAACGAAAGATCTAACATTTTAAATTGTAGTCACCTTTTTCAAATCCCATCAAATTAATGTTGTGTCAAATTGCTGCTCTTTGTTGATCATTTTTAAAACCAATTGTTTATTTCTAGCTTACACATCCACACGGTTTGTAAATATTCCCAAAGTTAGAAATGTCCGGTTTATGTCTGCAAATGAAGATTAGCTTGATACACAAGTTATTATCAAATGTTAGATGCATGTTGGAAAAGCGTAATAATTGGTACCGGGTTGACAGCAGAGTCCGGGTTGATCTGCAGAGTGTAGATGTCGTCTCTGGAGTACTGGAACAGGCCGTAGTACGGGTTCAGCATCTCGTGGGACAGCAGGTATAACCATTCCCTAAAACACAAAAGATTGAAATAAGCATAACCACATATTTCCTGACATTTAAAACCATTGAAAATAAACATGTGTCTAAATACCTTGCTACCCCGCCATAGTCCAGTCCCTCTTCTCCTCTAAATTTGATCATCAGTCTTTTCCAGAGATCCTTCGGACGCATCTTCATCACCTGCCGGTACGACTCCTGCGATTCAAGACATACAGAACATTTAAAACGATGCACAAAACAAGATCTTAAATAGAAAGCAAGACTCCAAAATGTCATTTGATGGACATCTCTACTACCTTCATAAATAGAAAGATTGTAACTGATTTGAGGTTTGCTGGAGTGTAAGCAGTTTTGAGGAGAACCTGGTCATATGTTACAAATTTAAAGGGGACCTATCATGCAAAATGCACTTTTGTACGTCTTTTATACATGAATATGTGTCCGCGGTGTGTCAGAGAACTCACCAAGTGTCAGAAAACACAACCCTCTCTCTTTTCCTCCATACCCAAATCTCTAAAAACGGGGCTGCAACGGAGCTGATACAGATTTGAAATTGTTCTGACGTCAGAAACGGGGAGCTCCGCCTATATGGGCAACTCTCCACCTATCAGGGGAATGGGGGGGTTGGGCCACGGCCACGGCCATTGCCGCTCGAAAGTGTAGTCTGCCACAAAAGCAGCGAAGAAGACTTCTCACAGAATCAGCCCTTGCAAAAACAGGGCTGGAATACAGCAAATAGAGTGAAATGAGGCATGGCTAAAATGCATGATCTGTTTGGTATTTTGAAAAAAAAAATTCACAGACATGTTTTATATAGGTATGGCCCTACAATATATTATTAAAATATAGCATGATAGGTCCACTTTAAATTACAAAATAATGTCATTATTATTGGTTACTGAGAAAAAATGAAATGATAAAGGTTTCTTTTCCTATTTTTTGGAATACAATGGGATAACATACAAATACTTTGTTGCTCTGTACCAGTAATTTCAGTTAAATTGAAAATCCTTTAATTTAAGAAGTACAAGAGTGATTAGTGTTGAGTACTTTATATATACAGTCTATGGCACTGACGTGAGGTTGAAACTGCAAGTTCGTTTTTAGGATTTTAACCCTTTATCTACTACTTTAATACATTTGTTAGGAAATAAATCAAATGTGACAAGTTAAATCTCTTTATGAAGTAGATAAAATAGTCAATTACAACTTTATACTATTTAGCTTTAGTAAGGGCAACTATTATTTCAATACATGTTTCTAACATTTCATATTTTATGTATTGCTCTTAAAGAGAATACATTCATACCAGAGCATCCTGGCAATCCTGTCCTTGCATCTATTCATAGTAACCCTTCCCCAGTTACAGTTAAACAAATAGTCAGTGTTTTCCTTTTTACATTACATAAGAGTCATCTCTGTGTCTGTCCTCTCACAGGAGTCCACAGAGACAGAGGCCCTGCCACAGTAAACAATCTGTCACTGCTGCACAGAGTGGAAGATAACACTCAAACATTTCAGATACTCTAAAACGATAGTGATTAAACATGCATTGAATTGATTATGGAATGTGCACAGAAGAAAATATTTCCTTTGTGTTAATCGTTTGTCAACTTGTGGCACAGAACAAGTGTGGATAAGAAATCAGAGTAGAATAATTGTAAGTGCATGCACACCGTGCCAGAGGCTAACTGAAGCTCTGGTTCCTGCACGAGAAAACCTCAAGTGGATCTGCAGAGCTGCTTTGCACAGCTGTCACGTCGAAGGGCGATGAAGTCATATTTTTCATTGCTCAACTTGTAGTTATGAAGTTATGTCTGGCCACGAATACTTGCCACTTCTGCCCTTAGCTCCTTCCCACCCTCCCCTCTCCTCCTTCCCCATCTCTTTAGCTGCTGAAATCATCCAGAAAGAATGCCTTGCCTTGGTAGAACAAATGATTGGGAGAGCAGGAAAAAGAGAGACAGAGGAGGAGAAGAAAGGCAACAGAGAAAGAGTGTTTTTGTGGTGTTGTGAAGGCCTTTCTGTTCTGCTTTTCACTGGGAATAATAAAGCAGTTTGGAGCAGTGGTTCTGCGCTGCCCTGGGCCCTTTTCTGGTGCACGTCGTAAATGGGGTGAAAAAATGCTAGTAAAATGCAGAGATCTGGGTTTGTGAGGATTCAGTTTTTGTTTTCAAGGACTTTTGGGGTTTGCATGTCAGCATGTGATGCTTTTGTGAATGCCAGATGGGGAATTTTGTGCACACATGGTCAATGTATGTTATACGAATTCAAGGGAAATTCTGTGTTTGCATTCATTTATGTGCACATGTTTGCAGCTGTGCTCAGATGCCCTTCATCAGTGAGCCACATGTTTCCCTTTAAGGTTTAAATCACACCAGGAATTTCAGGTTAGGGTGTCTCGTTTACAAGGTTCGAGGAGATTTTGAAAATGAACACCTGCCCTTCTGAAGTGAAGCCTTTCAGACAAATAAAGTGTTGGGATCATGGCGTTTTTTTATTTCTATAAACATGGAAATTGCGACGATTAGTTGACAAATGACAATTCAGTCATTAGAAATATAATCGCCAACATTTCGATAATAGATTCATTGTTAAAGTATTTTCTCCTGAAAAATATGGCAGGAAATACTGTTTTAGCCTCCCTAATATGTAGGTTTCATGTTTTCCTGTGTTTCAATATCTTAATAAACTGAATATATTTAGTTTTTTGATAAACAGAAGACATTGGAACACCTTGCCTTGATCTTTAGGATGGACATTTTTCAATATCTTTGGACAGTAATGCCAGAAAAATAGGTGATTCCACAATATGACAAATAATCATGACTTTCAGCTCAAATAAACATGAACAAAGGTAGTGTTTGTACATCGTGCAGCTTTCTAGGTAGCCTTCTGCTAACAGAAACAAGTGCATTGTAAAATGTTGTTGTGTGTTGAGTTGAGTAAATCATTATTTCATCAATTTTACCTCAAATATCTCCTCGCGGCAGACCTCGATGCGGCAGTGACCGGCCTGTGGTTGTTGCGCAGAGAGCTCCTGCCTCAGGATTTTCAGTTTCTGCACCAGGTCTCTCTTGTATTTGGGCACCGTCAGGCACTCCGCCTCCTCAGGCAGCTGGGCGGGGGAGTGGGGCTGCGGCGGGACCCCGGGAACAACCTGCTCCTTCAACGGAGGCGTTTCACTGGAGGAATAATGTGAAGAGGGTCCAAAGTCAGTCTGATTCACTAATTCACTTAAACAGCAGCATTACACAATTTGTCCTGAGCAGCCTTTTCTTATTTGGACTTAGTGTATTACAGCCATCTACCATCACATTCCCATAAGTAGTTCTTATATTTGTTCTGGTGTACTACTTTTAGGCAACAGATGTATAGAAGTAAAAAGAGGAATCTGTCCTGAAGGGAATTCCCCAACCCCTCCATCTCAAATATTCTCCAACCGCTGAACTAGGACGTTTTGTAAGAAATTCCCTCTTCAGCCCTCACCCTCTTCACTCCCCTCAAAGAAAAGAGCTCTAAACAGAGCCCTAAGCCCTGAGGACAGGCCAGCCCTTTGACCAGACGTTTGAAAAATATCACTAGCAGGAAAGACAGAGATGGAGGTAAACCCTGGCTAAGCAAAGAGAAAGAGATACACACAGAGGAAAATCAATATACAAAAGGAGAGAGGTGCAAGTATAGCTGGACGGACCTCTATCACACATTTCTCTTTGCGTCTAACTCTATTCTTCACAGGAAGTAAAGATGTATCGAAAGAAACAAAGAAGCTGACAGCCAAGTCTGATAAGGTATCCCTGCCCAACCACTACTTGAACTTCCAAGATACGACCACAGGAGCTGCCAGACATTATTAACATACATTTTTGCAACTCTACAGTCTTGTTTCTGTTGAGTAACACACGTTCTGAAGATGCCTTTCTTTTAGCTGCAAACGACTGCTGATAAATGTAGACTACAGCAACTGGTTTAAGTTCATGTCTGCCTGTTTCTCCTCTCTTGCTATTCAGAGCCTGTATATATTTAAAGCGATGAGTCGGCTTTAAAATACAATCTTGGCAAAGGTGCGCCATGGTCAGAGTTCTGGTGTCTCTGCCTCGTTGTGGTGTTGGTGGTGGGACGCCTGGGTGGGCCTCCTAAAAACATTATCCATCTCTCCCTTCAACAGGACAGCAGCGCTCATTCTCCTGTGAGGAAACGCTGAGCCAGCAGAGGATTTCTTTAAATGATGCTACTGTCCTCCGCTGGGAGAGGAGGCTGCTGTTGGCCAAACACAAGACTGAACTGGTGTATAAAAAGGAAGGAAAGACCTTCTGAGGTAGCAGCGCATAGCCACCCACTTATTCCGACACTTGTACATTTGGGTTCTCTGGTTCAGTGGGTTGAAAAAAAAAAAGCCTCATCTATTTGGGCTTTCCAAACTAAACGGGTGCAGAGTTTCACCAGTCTATCCCTGTATAATCAAGTCCGCTGCTATTTATTTTATTGGCAGGCGCTGGGGCTCCTAGCATGTCAAAGAAAGGGTAAGACTGCAGTCCTGAAAACCACTTTAGGAAGGAGGAGGGGAAGAAAAGATGGCCTTAAAACAAAATGGAATGAGTTGCCTTTGGCTCGGAGGCTGAAGAACCATATAATAAAGCGTAATTTAAGCGCACTTCTCTTTTCCTTCCGAGGGCACGGTGTAATTAAAAATACGTTTCGACATAGTTCATCGTCTTTGGTTTCCAAACGGGGACGAGCTCTGCATATTTGATGGTAAATATAGAAAATACAAGGACGGCAAAGCTGAAAATCTGCCCGAGCCGAAAGAGAGGAATGGCTGTGACAGCTTGGGTAAAAACACCACTTGGGGAGAAATATAACTGTCAAATTCAATCCAAGAGCCAGAGGATTTTATTATTGTTATTCCAAGGTGGACGGAGCAGGAGGAAAAGGAGAAGTGAAGGAATGAAGGAGTGTGCCAGAACTAAGTCACCTGCACCTGAACCTGCAGAGTCATGATAGTCCTCCATCCTCAGACTGGGTGTGTGAGGTGAGGGAGTGCACGCACAAGAAAGCACGGCTGTGTGTGTGGAGAGAAACCTCTTTTTAATGTCAGCCAGCACAGGTGGGCTGTAATGAGTGTTGAGTAGGTGTAGTGGTGTTAAAGCTACACCAACTCTCCCACTCTGCCCCCCCACCCAGCCTGGAGAATCAAAGGGCCCTTTATGAGTGTGAGCATCAGCTGGTGCTGCAGAACGTGGAGTCAAAGTGTATGCACTGAATTATTGACTTGGATAATATGTGTGTGTTTTGCCAGTAATTGTGTGATCTTTAACATTCTTCCCACCTAGCAAAATACCACATCTGTACACTTGTGTTGGTTTAAAAACTACAGGAAGTACAGGAAACCAGAAGCAGACAGACTGTAGTGATGAGACTGCGTACCGACAAAAGTATGTTGCATTTTACGACAGTCTCCAAGAATAACGAATGAAAGCTTTGCAAAATGTTACCATAACAGAAAACAATCTGTGCTTTCTGCATAATTTGACTTACTGTATACAGCATGAGACCAAAAAGGTATTTGACGCCAACTACAGAGTGTAGTACATTGTGCGTGCAAATACATAATAAATATAACTCAATATCCACCTGCCTACCCACCTGTATCCCGCTCTATATCTATATACATGTGTGGGATGTATCGCTAACCCAGTAATTTCCAGCATTTATTTATCTTTCATAGTTAAATATAACCACACACCCATAATATACCAAGTATACTATAGTATATAATCATCATTTCTTAAAACATCAATGCAAATGTTGATATAAATGTCATGAAGATTTATAACTGGGTGGGGAAAATACCTGCTGATGCCCACTAAACATGAATCCAACTTAAAATACCTTGAGCAAACACTGATGTAATGGTTCAGACATATACTAGGTGCTGGTGCGAGGGAAGAAGCTGAGCATGTGAGAGACAGCGCGGCAGACCACAGTAATGCAGCTGTGGCTGACTGTCTGACAATTCAAGGCCTTCATTAGTCTGAAGTCGACGGCAACCGGGCCGTCTGAGTCACACCAACACCAAGATGCATCCTGGAGGCTCCGTAGACTGAGGTGCAAACTGCAGACTCCCGATGTTGTAATGTCAAATTTGTTCCACGCAATCTGATCTTACAGACGAAACACAAACAGTTTCTACAGGCACTGCACTCCGCTGGCTCTCACATGCAACCCCACTACAACCACTACCTTTAATCTCCCTAAATGGAAACCGGTCAATGCAACGCTGCATCTTAGCGCGTGCGTGCGTGCGTGCGTGCGTGCGTGCGTGTTGAAATATCTTTAAATCCAGGTGTTGATAAAAGACAGATGTCCTGACAGTGAGCCAGCAGACAGGCTGATAACTTTAACAGTTTTTGAAGCACAGAGGAGGCTGGGGGGGGCAAAAGTGTGCACTTGCTTACCTTCCAGAGTGTTGTACATTGCACAGTTATTGCTGTGACATGGTCTGTATAAAAACATGCCTTGATCTTGTTTTCATTAATCAGTGTGTATCACGGAAAGCTGCATTGGAAATTAAAGCTTGCTAATTTTGACCTTCAAGAAGCTCTCAAACTTTGTCTGGACTGCCTCAAATCTCTCCTAATAAGGAGTCAGACAGGCAGTTAATGATGCTGACTGGATAACATAGCTGAGCTTCAACTCACAACCAGAGGCTGTTCTGACACATATGGATACTATTTGACCAAATGACCAGATGTTGATTTCCCAAACATGTCTATCGTGCCAGCCGCTGTTATTGAAAGTGGTTTTGACTGAGAATTTGCACTAAAAAAGCAAAGGGGAAAATCTCCACATCTCTCCATGTTCCTTTTGTTCTAATGACTCCTGCCTCACACACTGGCAGGCAGAAAGTACAGGGAGCTCCCCGACAGCCAAAATACACAGAGAACAAACCCAGAATTCAGTTCATCGTATCAGGGATTCAAACAACTCACAGGTTCCTTCCACACGAATATCACAGCCTTGATAGTTGTCATTTTATCTAGACGTACTGCTAGAGTACCTTATCAATGTGTGAGGATATGAAAACTGTTGCTAAGCTAGCAGCCGATATGCTAACACGGGTTTAGTATTTTTTTCAGGCCTTTCTGCTATCTTTGCTGCAAGCAGTGGAGGCAGACTGCTGACAGACAGACAAACACAATGAAAGACCAACTGACAGCCCCTGACATTTGGTGTGTGTGTGTGTGTGTGTATATGTGTGAGAGTGTGTTTCAGACTTGAGTGACACCCACATGAAAGTCAACCCTGAGGAAGGTTATGTACGACATGTATAAAACGCACATATTGGACATTCCCTTGTGGAAACGTATCACAGTCAGCATTTTCTCTCGCGATAATAACAGTGCGCGTGCGTGCGTGCGTGCAATTAGCTTTGAGTGACTAGCTGCTGAAAATGCTTTATACAGACAGATACCAATAGTGTATTGTGTATTGTGTGTGTGGGTTACCTGAGGTTAGTGTTTTGGCTTTCCATGGCCACACGGGAACCATTTGGACTTGGGCTGTACGAAAAAAAAAACAGGGGAAGAGAAGGGAAAAATTCAGAGAAAGGGAAAAATGGAGAAAAGAGAATGAAAACAATGGAAATGACAGAGATGAGGATTGGAGCATTGGACAAGATTAAAAAGAGCAGTGAGACAGGAGAAAGAGAGCAAGTAAACAAGTAAAAGGACACAAAGTAAAGGAATAAACGTAGATTAAAACAAGAAAAACAAATACAGAGAGAGGAAAATTAGGCCAAGATCGTTCCGTCATTGAGGAAGGCAGGAAGAGGAGGATGGAAAAAGAGTGTTGACAGATACATGAGACAGGCAGAACGGACATAAAGAGGACAAAAATATAAGGTGAGACGAATGAAACCAAGACAGCCGTCAGTGATTATCTTACAGCAGATATAGTAATTGCAGGAAAAAAGCAATATTTGATGTTCTTGGTCATTTCAAATCTCAACTACAGCCAAGGTAATGTCCTTGAACATCCTGCCCTGTGGGCCTGAACACATCAGTGATTTATAGACTTACTTGAGTACTAGATGCAGGTTAGCAGAGAGTCGCGGGTCTGTGAACTGAGTTGTCCGGTTGTTGTGGTCGACAAAGTAGACGCGACCCGTGGCTGTGTTTCTTATCTCCCAGCCTGGAGGCAGCGGGCCCAGCTCCTCACAGTTCACATTGCTGAGATCCCTGAACAAATCAAACCAAAACCATCAGCAAGATTCACACTACCAACGTGAATCTGGCTAAAACAAACAACTTTGATCCCCACACTGTGACGAGCTTAAGAACTATATCATTGATTAGCCTCACATTACATTACACTTGTTTGACGCTTTTATCCTAAGCCAACCCCAGATTCACTAACTCAGCTAAGGAACGATCTTTGTCCGTTCGCCTCGATGTAAGTGTGTTTTTTCAGCATCATGTCATTCATTATTTGGATTCCTCTTTGATGCATGTTACAATATGGCACCTGGTCACTTTATTTGTAGAGGTTGACACTCCAACGTGCCAAAAAAACTAAAAACATAAGAAATTCCACGCACATGCAGACATCTTCATACATTTCAAGTGTGGCATAGGTGAGTGTTGAAAGGGATTACAATGTTCATAATTAAGAAGAATCCTACCCCAGCCTTCTATGGGGTTTTATATTTTTGTTGTTAGCTATGATGCAATTTGAGCTGCTTTTTAAAAGTGCATAGGTAAGTAGGAATAGTAAGTAGCGATCAGATTTTAACACAAAAAACTGAACACCTTTTCAACTAATATTTAATAACCAAGACTAAATGTTAACCTTGCTAACATTTGATGAATATGGGCTGCCGTTTACATTCATATGAACTAGTACGTTGACTTTTTCTTCACAGCAGATTCACATAACTCAATCAGATCGCTCGAACAGAGCTCTCAACAGAACAAAGAGCATCGTCAACATTAACAAAGCCAATGCTGAAAAAGCCCTTGCTCTAATTTCCTGATACTTCTACGCTCCTGTACACTGACATTCCCGTCAGTAGAAAGCTAAGCCATTATCTGGGACAGCGCAAAAGCCTCAGGGCAACTTGTGTTTTTGTCTATGTGTGTGTATGTATGTGTGTGTGTGTGTGTGTATGTATGTGTGTGTGTACTTTGTCCTTGTGTGAAGTGAGGACACTGAGGGACAGAGTACATGCCTCGCTGCACTCATCACAAAATACTGGGTCATTTTGAAAAGCTCTGTCCAAATGACCAAACCCAAAGGTTGCTGCTGTGAGCTGGATGTTAACTCAACGTGCTTCTCCGCTGAGCAGCAACATGGCCAGAAATGTAACGCAATATCATAGCCTGAAGTCTCTGGTGAATTAACGAGTGGGCTATTGAGTCAGTGAAAGAGTTTGATTGAATGCAGAACCACTAGCATTTTCTGCTCAACAGCTGCCCAAAAATGTTTCTTCCAAATCCACATCGGACTCAGAGGTCACTAGTTTGGCTGACCCGGACTTGATCCTGAAATATGACTATAAAGACTAACGTTTCTGGATACAGAAAGTTAAGTCCAGTTTGGTCGTGTCAGTTTGGGAATATATGTCAGGTTTTATATTAAGGATAATACATTACGGCTGTCAGCACTGCAGTGCATTTATCATGCGTTTATAATGCACTTAACTGCCACTAGGGGTTTCTCATCAACACATAACGACAGAGTTTAGTGGTGTTGTGAGGTCAAGTGAGATCATGGGATCTTGTATCACTGCCATTGCCATCATTGCAGTTAGCTTCTCCCTGTTAGCATATTGTTCATAGAGATGTTTTTACCAAAGGCTGAATTAGCCGTAGAAGTCTGCTCCCGATTATAACAAGTACAAATAAAATAATTAAACAATTTCCCAAATGAACATGGGCAGAGAGGCTGCAAGCCATTGAAGTAACCTTGATTAAAATGTGGGTTGTTTGTAGGTTTTAAAATAGTTGGAGACATACAGGAACAAACCTGTTTGTAGACACTTTGATGTAGAAATCTCCCTTAATACCTCAGGTCGTGTGTTTTTGAAATGGTTTTACTCACATTTCATACATCACATTACCTAAAAGAAACATAAATTGTATACCAAATAAAGACAATAACGAAGTAAAAACTATAAATCAAAAAGGAGTTACCTGGGCACCCGGGGGTCATGCCATGTGCTGACCCCAGTCTGCGTGTGGAGGAAGTAGACTTGACCCTGCTGAGTTGTTCTTTGCTCTAAAAGGAGAAAGAGAGAAACATATTGGATCAAAATGGCAAAAACAACACTGATACACGACGCTCAAAACTGTTGTTCTGTAGTCCTGGTGGGTACAAGCATGGATAGTGTATTTTGTGTATTTTGGAGAAAGGGAATCCTGTTTATAATTGAAGTGATAGGCAAACTGAAAGGACAACAGTTTTGTAAAGTGGGTGCCAAAGTAATCAATGAGTTCCTCTCCAAGTCTCCACTATCCCAAAAGAATGGGGGAAATAAAATGTAAGGAAAACTTATCAAAGACTCGTGACTTTTTCCTTGTACATAGTTACTTGATGCATCCTTGTTTTCTCTTAAAGGTTGGTGTGTGTGTGCTCTGAAAGTAATCCCTTCCCATTAATCTACAAAACCAAAGAAAATGGAAAAGAAAACTCTGTCCGTCTTTCCAAACCAACGAAAATGATATGCTGTAAACAACTGGGAGAACCGAGGACAGCAAAAAAAGAAATGAGAATTGTTCCTCATCGGCCCGTTAGATGTGTGGTTCCCTCCAGCTCACGGATGAATGGTGTGTGTGTGTGTGTGTGTGTGTGTGTGTGTGTGTGTGTGTGTGTGTGTGTGTGTGTGTGTGTGTGTGTGTGTGTGTGTGTGTGTGTGTGTGTGCACAAAATCTGTGTGCTGCACAGGCTCAGTGTTCTGAGGCTCATGTGTGTGTATATGCACCCGCTAATCCATCAGTACCCCACACCCCAACTTCCTACTGGCACAACTCATTTCCTACCCACCTCTCCCTCTTTTTTTCCCCTCACACACACTCCCTCCCTCCCTCTCTCCATCACCACACCCAGCCACTGGTTCAGGGGGTTCAGCGGAGAAAGAAAGCTCACTAGCCGTTGGGCATCAGTGACTCACTTTGTCCGACCTTGGCCAGCGTCAGTGGACACAGCAGGACATTTCAAAGGGGGCAAAGGTCCAATTGTGCCATTCTAAAAAAATCAAGGGCATGCAGCACCACATTTAAAATAATAATTTATTTTACAGACTCTGTGGGTATTGTGGGGTTCGCTGAAAAGTACACTTAACTGAAAAAAAAGAAAATTCCAATGATGGAAAATATACTTATGTAGCTCCTGCATTATTTTCCAAACGTGTTTAAAGAAAGGCCAGAGCTAAAAACTGAGCCTTGAATATGCCGCTTTCAATTCAGTCTGTAAGCCAAGTATTTCAACTCTGGGAAGTGTTTGAAAACAGGAGGAGAGAGGAAAGAAAGGTGGAGTAGAGGAGAGGAATATGATCACACATCAGGTGTTGACCGTGGTTGTCATGATGTGGTGCTGTGGGTCAGCAGAGAAAGTGTGAGAGAGCCAAAGGAAAGAGCCAGGAGACAGACGGATAGAAAATAAGTGGAAAAAGGGGCATTTCAACTTTACTCTCATCATCAAAAGGAAAACAAATGTTCAAAGTATCATTGCCTCCGGGCTACAAACAAGATACTGCCAGAGGAACAGCTCACTGTGTCTTTAATCTTGTGTTTTTGAAATCTCGCATTGGGATCAAGTAATTGAGAGGCTGTGTGAGTGTGTTGATGTATGTATGTAAATGGTCACAGCTATTGCACATGTGTGTTTCTTTTATCATGGTGTCGCCGTACTTAAATTGCGGACCTAATGAGACCATATTTCTCTCCAGATATTTCTTAAACCAGTTAGTGAAGGCAGTGTGAGTGTGTGTATGTGTATGTGTATGTGTGTGTGTGTGTGTGTGTGTGTGTGAGTGTGTGTGTGTGAGTGTGTGTGTGTGTGTGTGATGCTCTGTCTCTCACCATAACCCTCAGGCAGGTCAGGGGGTGTATGCAGGTGTGTTCGACTCATGTAGTTGCGATGCCGCTGAGATCGAACCCGTCTCTCCTGGACCCGCTGTACGCCCTGCGGCACGCTCGCCTCGGCCCCGTTAACGGGCGTCATTACCGGCGTGTTCTCGTCCACCACACAGCTCAGAGGACGCCCTGAGGGGCTGGAGTACTCCGACGCTGGCCTGGGAAAGAGCGGAGAGTGGTTCATGTAAATGGAGTTTAGTCTATTTTCAAAGAAATGTTCCAGATATATATTAATACATCATACATTTTGTAACAAATCGGGGAAAACGAACTCAATGTACTACATAAAACAGAAAAAATCAATTGAGAAGCAGAATTGAACGTTTTATTTTTGATTCCTTAGATGCACTGTGTGACTATGAGCCATGCAGGAAGCTGGGTGTGGAGGGTGAAAAGAAGTGTGTTTCTGTGTTAAAGGTGTGCTATGGGTTAAGTCAAAGGTGCAGCCAGTTTATCTGCACTTGTGATGTCTAGACATACACACTGGTGTAGGGTAATTATTGTGGAACAGCTGTGTCATCAGTCCTCAAAAAGAAAAATGTATTTCATGGTTATGCTTAAGATTAAAGTGATTTTAAGGCTTAAGGGTTGCATAAAAGCAAACAGAAAGTCCTCCAAAGACTACAGTAGAATCTTTAGTGTGTTTAGGAGACATAGACAGGCCGACACATAGAGAGAGTGTGTGTGTGTGTGTGTGTGTGTGTGTGTGTGTGTGTGTGTGTGTGTGTGTGTGTGTGTGTGTGTGTGTGTGTGTGTGTGTGTGTGTGTGTGTGTGTGTGTGTGTGTGTGTGTGTGTGTGTGTGTGTGTGTGTGACCATTGTCTGGCTGTCCAGAGTTACTGACGCCTTGGCTATCTAAAACCTTGGACCCTTGTACGTCAACCCAGAGCCCACGCACTCCCCCTTCCACACACTCTTCCTTCCTCCCATTTCCTTTTTCTCCCCCTTCACTAATATCCCACCTCTCCCTCCAAGTAACCCTGCTTCTTTACTTTAGAGGTGTTTTCACTCTTTTCTTCCCAGTCTTTGAGACATTTCCACCCACATACACCTTAAACTGATTAATGGATTATTCTTTCTAAACTCTGGAACAGATTACATTTGTCGTCAGTCAGGACCAGTGACAGGTGACGGTGGGGGGGGGTGGTGGCGTTATTTGTTTGCTTACTCCCCTAACGGCTCCACTGATATGGGCCAAGTAGGAAGGCGACAGTTGTTCCAGCAGGAACAGGGGCCAAGTAAAACCTAGCTGCCCGACTGGCTGGCTAGTATACTTAGAGAGGTGTGTGTGTGTGTGTGTGTGTGTGTGTGTGTGTGTGTGTGTGTGTGTGTGTGTGTGTGTGTGTGTTGCGGTGGGGTGGGGTGGGGTGGGGGGCTAAGGAAGTTGTCAGCAATTCACTCATTACGACAGACTGTTATTGTTGTGTTGGGAGTTGGGCTTAGTGAACGTTTCTTTCCTTCTGGAAGGGGAAGTTGGGAACAGTACAACCACTTACAGAGACCCCTGATGCTTTGTTATTAAAAGTTCAAGTGTGTCGTATTTAAAGCCCTGGATGAAGAAGTGTGTAGTTGTACCTGGTCGGTCTCTCCCACTGCGTGGTACGTGTGATGTGGTTCAGGTACTGTATCCTCCCAGAGGCCGTCCTCCTTTCTTCCCAACTGTTTCATGACATTAAGACAAAGGGTTAGAAAAGACAAGCAAAGAAAAAAAACTGTTGCTGAATCTGATTATATAATGTTTAGAAAAAGGGGCTTAACAGCAAACATAAGTAATAAGAAAGACATTTCTCTTTACACACAAGACAAAAGCTTCACAGGGAGGATAGTAATATTGTTCACACACTGTTCAGCATCTAAATGAATTGCATACCAATACTGATTTTGTATGCATTTAAAAAAGAATGTATCCTTTTTTAAATGCACACAAAATCACAGAAAAACGATCCCCCTGCCCCAACACAATCCTCGCAACTATAGATTACTTCACTAAAGAAATGCTTCTAAAAGAGTTAAATCCAGACAGCTCCCAGGAAAATGAAAGACTTCGAGAATAAGCAAGCTAGTACTGTGTGCACAAATAGGATAAGTCATTTGAAAGGAAAAGCTTTGATGATACTAACCCATCAGGCAGGTCGTTGTCGAACAAGCGACTGCAGTCCACCACCGGCCCTCCTGTCCCGATGCGATCTCTGGACTGAAGACTTACTGCACAGTTAACCAAGACAAGGAAGACTGCAGATCAATCAGATGTTCTTACCCATAGAGTTTCGCTCAAATAATAACTTCATCATATTGTATTCATCTTTTAAATAGACATTAGTGTCTCTCCGAGGCTTTAGCAGGAGCAGTGTTAAAGCTTGTGCCATCGGTTCTTAATATCAAATCACAGCATGAATTTTAATGATGTTCCTTGAGGTATTAGTGTCTTAATGTGGAATTTCTGAGGGATTTTGTAGTATTATTTTCAATTGCAGCACATTTGTGTAACAGATGATATCAACCCCAAACATTTATGCAACTTATGAAACATAGTAGGTCATGGGAATGGTCATTATATGCGTCCGCAAAAAGGTTTCAAGCTAGAATTTAAAATATGAATCGGCAACTAATCAAACCCAATGTTTGTTACAGACTTTTGACTAGAAAAACTTGACCGTGATGATTATTGTCTCAAATTAATATTACAGATGATCCATGTATTGTATTTGGCCTTAACTGTTGACCTCGATTTCAAATACAGAAAATGAATAGATTGAAAAATGATACCTAATTGAGGATGAATTAGCTGTTGGCAAAATAAATGAGCACTTACATTTTTTTTTTAAACCTAGTAAAATGTAAGGGAGTAGTCCCATTGATGTCTTCCAGCTGTTAATTTAATCAGTGTTTTAAACCGTAAATATGCAGTGGACAAAGGCTCTGGGACTGGACTAAGTGTGTCCATCTGAGCTTTTTTTTTTTTTTTTTTTTTAATAGTATTGGCACACTGAATGTAGACTAGAGCATCTGGAACATGTAACAAACCGACTGACTATGCATAGTTATATCTTTCACTTAACTTCCTTTTCCATAAGAATGATAATGTTTTAAACATGTTTGGAATTCTTACCAACTATTTGACCTCTCACAGTATCATTGTCATTGGGGCCCAGCTTATTCAGGTCCAGTCTCTGATCTGCAGGGAAAAAACAAACAAGAAATTGAACTATCAACTAAACATCTGCTCACATTTACAACCGTGATCAAATCCAGGTATTAAGCCGATGAGTAACTTGATGAACTTAATGCCAAGTAACAAGGCGTTCAGACTAAAAGATAGAACCGCAGGGTGTTGCGTTTGTGTGGGCGCGTTGCCTCAGTGCGACGATGAAACACTATCCAGGAAGGACGGATGAGTAATAAATCCATGACTTTGAAGGCTTATAAGATGACAGAAACTGCACAGTTAATTTAAAATACTATGACGGAGGATGTTACAACCATGGAAAGTTATCAAAAATGCATTCTTATCATCTGTTGCAGGAGATAAAACATCAAATATAATTATATACATCCAAACACATATCAGCCAATGATTTTACACAGTGATAACGGCTCTGATTTCGGCACGAGGCAAATGGGACATACTGAAGCAGCCAGCCAAAACTTACAAATGTTAACAAAGCAACAATGTTCTGTGCAGGGGAAAACATTTGGAGACACAAAATATCACAGATCTTGGACGCAAAATGTGTAAGCGGTCTTGTTATTTTTAGATAAGCAAGGACTCATTGTCTGAAGTGGCAAATGATAGCACTGCGAGACACACACAGCACAGAAACACAAACCAGGACGACTGAACAAGATCCAGACACAGATACACTCAGCAATCTCTGCTGCCTCTATCACACAGTGAAACTTCGGCATGACCAGCTGAGCCGTACAGGAGTGATATCAATTGATGTGTGTGTATCTGTGTGTATGTGTGTGTCGTGATCGCACAGGGTGTGAGTCATGCAGGGGCATTGGCTTTCTAAAATCTGAAAAAGTAAAGCATAGTCAGACATTACACGGTGTGTGTAGGAAGGAAAAGAAATATGCACCGCAAGAGGAAGACAGAGAGAGAAAGAGAAAGAGAAAGAGAATCTTCGGGAGACAGGGAGATAAGGAGACGCCCCAGTTATCCATGCATTAATACTATAATCAGAGACATACTAGACATGTATTGTAATTGCTTGGTCTACATAATGTCATGCATACACAGACATGTCTTGGTTTCCCTGTATGTACAGTATAGACTCTGCAGATCTAAACAACACTATAGCTGGTTTCCAGAAGAGAGAGAGAGAGAGAGACTGAGAGAGAGAGACTGAGAGAGAGAGAGAGAGAGAGAGAGAGAAAGAAGAGAGAGAGAGAGAGAGAGAGAGTGTGTGTGTGTGTGTATCTGTTCCGGATACATGTCTAGACTAAACAAGGATGGTCTAAGCCTTACATGGCTGGAATAGTAAGCAGAATTTCCTCTTAAATAAGAGAAGAGGGAAACACAGAGAGAGAAGATTTACAGACCTTTAACCACAAGGCCTCACTGCACCATGCAATACCTCAGAGCCACATTTTGCTTCAATGAACAAACTACATAAATCAGTTTTAATATGTGGATGTAGAGTGTGTTCTAGTATGTCGTCATTTAGCTTATATCTCTGTGTGTTTGTATGCATATGTAAAAAAGTCTTTATAAGCATCACAATCATAAATCCAGCAAATATATTCAAAGATTCAAGGACTGTTTACTGTCATTCTGCAAAACATGTGTGACAAGGTGAAGCAGTTTTAGTTCCTCCTGCCACACAAGAAAACAAGACAAAACAAAAACAGTAGTGAATTCCTAAAGAGCAGTTTCAATATTTGCATCAGGAGGAATGTAAACAGAAGCAACAGAAACCTCAGTTAGTTATCAGGGCCGATAATAAGACTGTTATCTTAATACAAATTGGACCTCAGTGGATTATTGTTCATCAGTTAGCTGTAACATCAACTACAAATAAGACACACACATCTAAGTGAGGCAGACTAACATGGCAAGCAAGTCATTTTGAAAGACTTGGTGTGCGCTCGTGTGTGTGTGTGTGTCTGTGGGTTCAGAAGTGGGACAGAGGACTAAGCCATTGTGTCTACGATGCTACAGGATGTAGAGTTCAGTTTAAAGCCAGACAGACTTCTAGTAATCGAGACCACTAAGACAAATCTACATTTAGAATGCAACAAAATGTGCGTGTGTGTTTGCGTGTGTGTGTGGGTTTGCGTGTGCGTGTGCGTGTGCGTGTGCGTGTGCGTGTGTGTGTGTAGGAGTGAAGGACTTCTAGGAATCAATACAATTCCAGTAAAGTCATGTTTGTCTGTGTACATCTTGGTCAGACCACAGACTGGGCACAGTTCATGTGTCTACGGCTACAAGACAAGGACAAGGGATATTGTGAGCTCTGGTGTCTTGTCAAAGATTATGATTTGTCTCCCTGTCCACTTCCTGTGTGGCTACAAGAAAGTATAATTTCTGCCATGTTGGCTGTACAGTAAGTGGCTGGTCTGGAGCCTAACTGGAGCCTCTCCTGTCTGTTTCTGGAAGCTGTGGCTAAATGTTAGGGCAGGTTCTTTGGCCCTCAGTGGGGTTAAAGTATGGCATGTCAAGGTCCCTCATGTTCTTTAGTGGCTAGAAGAGTGAACTGTATATGTCAAGAATTTCACTTTTAAACAAGTAAGAGTTCCTGGGACATATTTGGTAATATAATGAGAAGTATGTAGCTTTTTGGAGTTGGCATAATAGTCACATTTAGGCCAACTAATACGTTTGGTTCTAACAAAGAAGGTAATTATATTCAGACAGACAACTTCTGGTGTGTCCGTAGTGCGTGACTGTGTAGAATGAATGGATGGAAATAAGGAAAAGGCCGGATTTATACAAAAAAAAAGCGGAAAAATGTACTTCAGAGTGGCGGTTCTGTTACATGTCTGAACTTTTAGTTTGAGACAGGAAGATGGATTGAAGGAAAGGAGGAGAATGTGTGGAAGGAATGTTAATTCGACAGTTTGTACTACAGTTAAGTGTGTATGTGTCAGTATCAACAGACTGGTACTGCCAACAAGCCAGACAGGGCTAACAAGCATGCGGCCATGTGGACTGCAGAGAGTAAATAAGAGTATAAACCAGTTGGAAATCAAAGAGCTGCAGTCTGTGAGGCCAGGCAGATGTTGTGTGTTATCCACATTAAACCGGGTCACACAGGATTATCAAAGTGATCCCCAAACAGCACCTTTCCTCCTCTTTCTGCACCTTTGGCAAAACAGTGCCAATAAGTATATGAGCAGGACTAGGTTTCCAAGAATAAAAGCTATACGTTTCCTTGGCAGAAAGATGCATTGCTGTAAAAATGAATGGTTGCTATTGATTTAGGTTGAGGTGCCTCATGTCTACAGCATTTCTGTTATGTGTAGCCTAAAGGAGCTGTTGATGTATTGTGCCTATAAATCTCATGGCAATTAATGTTTGGCACAAGAACAGCTGCAGAGCACACTGCAAGCTGGGGATGGGATATGAGCACTGTTAAAGAGGTACATGTAGCAGCAGGCTGGCTAACAATCAAACTTTTGCAGCCATTTAAAACACACAAAAGGCACAGAAAAAGTCAAGTTGTGTGTGTTATTGGAGACACCAGAGGCCTGTACTACGAAGCTGGTTCAACCTAACCTGGATATGTTTGAGTTAGCCGGTTGGCCTAATCCAAAACATACGCGCTCTCGCTAAGCTGTACTACGACGCTGGTTATCAAGTGGATCGCTCAAGCCAGCCGTGTCCTATCTAGTTAGGTGCGCGTTCACATGAAAGGGGTGGTATTTGGAGCATTCGACCAATCTCAAACACGGACAAGCGTACTGACAGCGCAGCGTCATACTTCCTGAATGAAAAGTGAACTTTAATATTAGTCAAATATGAAGAAGTTAAACTTTAAACATCCATGTCTTAAACACTTTATCCAGGATAAAAGCCACATAGCTGCACCTGCAAGGTGAATACAGCTGGTAAAAGAAAAAGTGTTTGAATGCGTACATTAACAGGTTTATGATATCACTGCCCCGTCCAAGACACGAGTGGATCTGACTTTAATTACATTTGACTCGAGTGTTTCGTCAACTTAATGTGTTGCTTAAAATAATACTTCTGCATACAGTATGTGACACTGTGAGTGTTGCACGGCCAGATACGGCTCAAGAAGCTGACTCAGATAAGGAAATATATGATACATTATGATGTGATATGATATGAATGATAATGGGACACATCGACGTCTGCACTCACAGTGCGACGGACTGTACTTAATGTTACTCTGATCCGGTTACTTATGTTGTGGCAGATATTTAAGTAAGCTTTCTTAACGCTAATATTATAATAGTCAGATTGCTCTGAAGATGGGAGGGGATATTCTATTAATTTTCACGTTCACACAGTCAGTTGATTTTGGCCGGCCGTCTTTCCTGCAACGGCAGTTTTTCTGTATTTCCTCTATCCTGTAATATGACTTGATAGCTTTAAACTCCGCACACGGAGCTCTGATTGGTCAGCAGGCGGTGCTTTCACTGAGTTGATCTCTTAGCCTGCAACCTAACCTCCTCCCGAGGAGGTTAGCCGCTCAGCATAAGTTACCATGGAGATCTAGCCCGCTAAAAAGAGAACCAGCGTCGTAGGACCGGAAAGCCAGAGTTTTCCCTGAAGTTAGCCGGCTAAGCGAAAATCCGGCTTCGTAGTACAGGCCTCAGGTCTGGTCCATACCATGTGTCTTTGTGCTAACATGTGTGATAAGATGTGAACATGGAGCTCCCAACACTGGATAGTTATTCATTAGATGTAGCCTGTGGATCCTCCCCATTAACCTTCACTTACAAGCTAAGCCGGAGGGTAAAGGCCACGGCGAGCATGCAGAGGGAGCATGAAGAGAGCAGACAACAGCACACACAAACAGGTACTTACAGCCAGTGTCTTTGAGTCTGTTGATTGCGTTGGACAGGAGGCGGACACAGCCGAGGAAACCGGCACCCTGCTTTTTGTGGATCTTCTTGTGATTCCATACGCTGATGGTGATTGAGTCTGCCTTTCCAATGTATCTGAGAGGGGAAGAGAAAGAAAAATGGTCAAAAAGACAATCCTGACAATATGAGTAGGATTTCCAATGGTCCATTGAGCCATGGTGCATGCTTGAGTGCAGTAGCAGGGGGGCTTAATGCAGGGTAGGCAGGATGGAAACTAAATTAAATCATAACCTACGACACTCAAGAAATGTTGCAAAGCATTAACAAATACATATAACTAATACTGCAGAGAAAAGAAGTGAATCTTACATGTTGCATCTCTTCCAACCACTTCTTGGTAAGAATAATGCACACCATGTTTGCGGTGCAGACTGTCAGACTGTGTAATGAGGCTGATTAGCTGATTTAAAGAACCATGTGTGTGCATGCGTATGTGTACGTGCATATTGGGCTAAGATCAGTCTAGTCGTGGTTGGAGAACAGAGGAAGTCCCCAAGATGTGCTTCACCACTGACAGAGCCAGACAGCTACAACAGTAAACACACAGTTCAACTTTCAAATGCACAATCACACACACAGCCTCGAAGCCACCACTGATGCAAAGCTTTATATTACGCTGTGAGCTGTGGGGTTTCCCCACTAAACACATCAAAATGTATATATATTTGACAGCAAGTCAAATCATAGAAGTTGGGAAATTGTTGCATTGAGATGAAATTACAGCGTGTGTGGGTTGTGGATCTTTAAGTGTCCAGTGATTCAGTCTAGTCACTATCAGACACTGTGATCAGGATGCAGTAGCTGAGGTTAGCAGCTCTGCATGTTCACTGTTTCTGACTCAACAGATGCTGATGTGTCTAGGCATGTGCTTGTTGTTGCATATGTTGATTATGATCTCATGTTCAAGCCATTTAACATTATTAGATGACAAGCGGGTGAAAGAACTCACATTTTTTTGTGCCAACATACTTTCAATTGTCTTCTCCAATAGGCTTATTTGCCAAAAAATGGATACTGACTTACGGATTAAAAAGAATATTCCACTAGTAAGGACAACTCGAACATGTTCTGAGCAATCAAACAAAACATCTGAATGGAGTTACTTTAAATTAATTGGTTTTTCTGATAAAAGCTGTGCTGTTGCTCACTTCGACAAGACCCATTTTTTAAAGATCATTCTTGATTACGAGATATTTCCAAACTCTTCCAAAAATATTACAGATATGTTGCAATTTGGTGCTCAGCAGTGTGAGCTCTTCAATCTCCTATGAAAGCAGAACACAGTATTCAAAATGAAATGTCATGCTTTTCCCTTCACACAATGTGGTTGCAAGATTAACAGGTCAATGTGAGGGAAAGATGTGTTGTGCAAAGCACCTTGGAGGAAAAAAAATCTGAAATAGCTGACGAGACAATGACTGTCTTTCTGAGATAAGAGAAACAGATGGAACAAAATAATATTTCCTCACTGTACCAAAAACAGTGTTGGGAAACATTTTCCTCCAAAATAACATTGCAGGTGCTAAGGTTATTGTTACAACACTGCTATGAAAAAGCACATTTATACGTATGGGGGTGGGCTGATGAGTGAACTGTCAGCGCTGAATCATAAATGGACCTGAAAACAGATGGAAGTACGGCATCTACGTTATACAATATAACTCCAGACTGAACTGACCGACTCCCCGTCTTCTGTAGGTAGTTGTTGTTACTGAAGGCCACAGTATACTCTGTGTGTGAAGTTTGTGAAACATAATTAATTGGCTGTTCCATCAACACAAAGCTAGCAAACGATACATTGGGATATACTGTAATTCATTTTTTTGTTGGATTCTGTTTGTCAGGGAACAGAGCAGCACTTTTTTATTTTTTATTTGAATGATAGTGACAGATGGTCCTGTAACTTGGTGCAGCATTGGATAAAATGTAAGTTTTTTAATAGTCAATGTTTTATTAGGATGATGCAATTGAATAAGTGTTTTCTGTGAAAGAAAACATATTTGTGTAGAAGTACATTTCCTAAGAATTAAAAAAAAAAATTGCAGTGGTCGCATCAGTTATGATTTTAGACTTGGTTTGAGTATTTAATAAGGTTTTAAATGTGTTAGCAAGTGATGAAATAATGTCATTTCCAAGTTTAAAAGGCCCCAGCAGGATAAATATAGCCCTGAATGTTATGTCAAATTGTATAAGAGTTTTTAAAGTAGTTCCAGATGATGTAATGACACTTAATTTGAAATTAATTTAAAATGTACAAATTAGCTAAACTGTTAGTTACACCTTATTGTGAGGAAATTCCTCATGTGAATAAAGCTCAGGGTTCACACAGAACAGTATTTGCAGGCACATCCTTTTTCTGTTCATTGTGCGAAATTAAAAGAAAAAGAAACTCCCAGATGATTAACTAACAAACACTGATGTTCAGGCAAGTATGCAAAACTATTACAAACAATCCCTCTATATCCCGCTCCCCAAACACTTCATTAGGTGGTTACAGCAACAAAAAAAAATGATTAGCACTCTTAATCCCACAGACAACAGCCGAGGAGGGGGAAATATTCTTGGGTCAAATACAGATTAGCTTTCCAGGACATAGTAAATCCAGAGCTGCAACACTTCCCAAACTTCTTCCTGCCAGGGAACTTACATTAGGAACTCAGAAAATAAGCTGTCTTTCCAGATTGGATATATTTCATATTAATGTTGGACAGACTTCAGCTGTTAAAATAGACAAAAATAAATCTGTGTGGAGATTCAACAGCTCTGGCTCGTCCCTATTGAATACCTTGATCTGATTTATGTAAGTTGAGTCTTTGCCAAAGCATTCTTCCTCTGTTCCCTTGTTCCTGCTGTTCTGTGAACAGACCACCCCATTTCACCTCACTTCTTCCACTTATGGACATATGTGGAAGACCCCCATCACCCCAGCCACAAACTGTTCTTTCTGTTGCCGTCTGGCAGACGTTACCGCAGCATCCTGGCAAGGACAAGAAGATTCGGAGACAGTTTCTTCCCGCGGGCAGTGAGACTGTTAAAAAATTGAACTGTTGAAACAACTTCAAACATTCATCTGCTACTCAGTAGTATGTATCTAATATCTAATATATATCATTCCAATAACTTGTATATAGACTCTATTGCACTATTCCACATCATAACTTTATTTTATTTTATAACTATTATTCTTTTTGTATTGCTCTTGCTCTTATTGTTATTATGTTATTATGTTGCATTGTTGGAGAAGCCTGTGACATAAGATTTTCAACTACATAATTACTCTGTAACTATGTCAGATTGACAATAAAGAACCTTGAACCTTGAATGTATGCTTACAAAGACCTTTCCTGCCTTTCATAACAGAAAATCGTGAATATTTAAACATATTACGACTCATAAAGTACAATAACTCATGGTTGAAATGTATGTGTGCCTGGAAGAAATGCATGTTGAAGGTAGCTGAACCTTTGCTCGCAGTCTAAGACTAAACAAGACAAAGCATTTGTATACAACCAAAATATTTCTGTTCCTGTTTCCAAGCATGGAGCACACAACTTGGTCTCTGAGAGAACAAAACAGACATCTTCCGCAGGTTAAACCACTTCTAATGACTGTGTGCAGTAATTCAATGTTTGAATATGCTGTAGGTGGGTATGTCTGCCATACAGGCCTCCAGGGCTTATGATGGGCAGGTTGTGATGCATCGAGTCCACTTGTCAATTACTGCCAATGCATTTAAAAATGGATTGCGAAATGAAAAGTAAACAACTGACTGTAGCAGTGCCTGTGCCATTGGTTTGATAACAATTGTATTAGCGAGTATGTGTTAAAGGTCTCCTATTATGCTATTTTTAGGCATATATTATGGGTCTTGGATATATATAAATATATAAAAAATATTATGTGTTTTGCTCAAAATACCAAACAGATCATGCATTTTAGATATCCCTCTGTTGCAGGCCTGTTAGAGAACTGCTGATTCAGCTCCGTTGTACCCCAGTTTTTAGAGATTTGGGTACGGAGGAAAAGAGAGAGGGTCTGTTTTCTGACACTTTGTGAGTTCCCTGACACACTGGGGACACATATTTATGTATAAAAGACACAAAAAAGTGCATTTTGCACGATAGGTCCCCTTTAAGCCTGGTAAGGTGACGATCATTGGGTACAACATTGAAGATTGAACACATTCAAAATGTTTTCCAAAAAAGGTGGTCTTATATTTGTTTCGAAAAGATGCCAATATGTACTATACAGCATCGATAGTAAAGCAAAGTTTATACTTTTGCAGGGTATTTATGTAAGGTTATTTATGAAGAGTATGTATTTACATAACAGAGCATTGAGGCTTCTGATAGGATCAGAGCCATGTGGGAAAAGACCCCACCTCCTAAAGCTGAAGGCTGGAGATGGGGGGGTGTGGCGAGTTGGCAATCTGACAAACCCACAATCCCATCTGCTTACTGCGGCATGTTAGCCATTTCCTGAACCAGAGGAAGAGGCCAGGGGTCACTGGCGGGAAATATACTCCTCTGAGAGGTTGGGGATCATGAAGGGGTACAGAAATGTGTAAAAAGGAGAACTGTGGTTAATGTTGACAGGGGACAGGAAGCATGGTAAAACAGGTGTGTGTGTGTGTGTGTGTGTGTGTGTGTGTGTGTGTGTGTGTGTGTGTGTGTGTGTCTGAAAGACAAAAGTGGGCCCAGAAAGGCAAGATACATTTGTTTTTGTAGGGTTATGATGAAAACACAAGTAAAGTCATATAGTATGGACTCTTATATCATTTAGAAACACACGGTCTTCCTCTACAACTGGCTTTCATTATAATTATGACAGTGACTGTATTTGTATTATTGATTAACCTTCCTGTTATTGTTTTAAGGAATGACAGATTAATTAATTGCTTGGTCTTGATGTCAGAAAATTGTGAAATGTCCGTCACATGTTCCCAATTCCAGAGAGACGTATTTTTTGTACAAAACTAAAAATATCTAGTTTACTTTCATTGAAGACAAATAAAACATAATAACATTCAAATTTGAGAGGCTGGAATTTGTGATATTTTTACCACTTTTGCTAAAAGAATATATAATATAATATAATTGAATGAGTGAAGCTTTTCGCCTGTATGACTTTTTCTTTACCGTTGCATGATTCATAGTTTGGTTTTGGAATATCAATGATTTTAAATTTACATTTTCAATACTGACAGGAAACGAAAAGTGAGCTTTCTTGATAGAAAAATGGGGTTTTGAAAAGATTTTCAAGGGACTATATCTGGCTTATTCTGAAAAACATTAAACTTAAATAAAGTTGCTCTTTAAATGTGTTTTAGCCTGTGAACAGCCACATTTGGCTCAGAGGACCAAGCGAGCCGACACTCAGGTTTACAGAGTGCATGTCTATTGAGCAACCCCATATTCTAATGCCCAAAATAGGAAGAATGTGTTATCTTGAACAGAATGTCTGAAATCTGGCTCTATACGATGTTTTGTTCCCAAATAAAATGGCTCAAAAGCTTTATAGATGGGTGTTTTCTGCACAAAGTAGAACTCAATTTACATTCCTGAAACACTTGTCATAGCAGTTTCGCACAAAGACATGCGAGAGAGCAAAACCAGTATACTGCATTTCTGTGACAACAATGCTTTCTGCAAGATCAATTTCAAGTGGTGAGTGACCTCATACACCGATCAATCACACAATGGGGCTGCGCAATCTATTGTCAATCAATCAATACAACATTGTTATGACTAATGGAGTGTTTCCGAATACCTACAGTAAGGCCTGCTAATGTCTCAGAATGAACTGAATATATTTTTTTAACTGTTCAACGGGCATTCGTCTGCCTGGCTGATTTAACTAGCCGGGTCAAAGATGGCTGCTCGTTGTGGGAGGAGCCTCTCCCTGACACTGGCATTACCTCCAAAGAGTACTCGCCTCGCGGCTCTGATCATCGGCTATTCAGCATTCCTTGTCCTTTTTTGCCATGTCATCACCCTTCATATCTACATAACTAATTAGTTTTAAATTAAAGGTCACCTATTATGCAAAATCCACTTTTTCATGTCTTTTATACATAAACATGCGTCCCCTCTGTGTAAAGAGATTCTGAAAGTTTCAGGAAAAAAGATTCGCTCTCTTTTTGTCCTGATCCATTTATATAAAAACCTGTCTGAAAATGAGCTGATCAGATTTTGGTCACTTTATGATGTCATAACGATTTTTTTGCTTGTGTGACCATTAGCCAATCACCAACCAATGTAACACCCGCCCACCTTATCACCTGCATCTCCTCCTAGAGCACCATTGTGTTCTTATATTGCAATGTCAGCTCCCCATTTAATTATGCAGCCCCATCACACACACACACTGCATTTGTTTTTTATGTTTAGTAAGTGATACAACATGGCACACCGCCGCATTGTTATTAACTTACAGATCATAATGTTGATTCCACTTTGGGTCCAGCGTATTTCTCACAGTATCTGTTGAGTGACATTGTCCAGAGCCGTCCACCACCACTTTAGCAAATGGATCTGGCAACCCTGTAGAGGCAAGTGAAAAGGTTTAATTTAACAAATGTAAGAAAATAGTAATTTCCCCAATAAAGCTCTCATTGGGGAAATCTAAGGGATGAAATCAGCGTGTTAAAGTCAAATGGGGCTTAAACATGCAGATGACATACAGACATGTTTGGTTACAATTAAAAAAAGAGACAAGGCAAGGAAATAATGTTTATTAAAATATCCTCAGTGAGCCCTATGTCTGACATCTACTCAGCAAACAGAAGAAGTGCAAGTATGTAAAAGGAAGACTGAGGTTATCTTTGGTGCTCGTTAGTCTTTCTGCTCGAATAGGGGGTCTGTTGAAGTTTGTCAGCACCCTTTTTACATTTGAAGAGATTCTCCTCAATCATCTATCATTTATATCCACCCTAAAGCAAACATAGACAACATAAGTCGTATTAAGCGTAATGTCGTTTTTGCACACAATCTTATTTTTTTTTTTATTGCTGCTCTAACTTAGTCATTTTTTCAGTATGTTACCTGTTCTGAACATTTGGGACTTTAAAGAGAGTCTTGTGAATACTGACACAGTATCAATCAATATAAAATATAGTAAATGTATTGAATTAATTGCCATTATTCATTACTGTATTCTTTTAGTTTTTACTATTATCAAAAGTCAAAGTCAAAGTCAGCTTTATTGTCAAAAATTATACACGTGTTATACATCCAGAAATCTCGAAATGTATTTATTGACTGCTCTCTGAGCTAAATGGCCCCTCTAGGATGTTTAAGCTACTTTTCTCTACAACTATAAGGCAAGTCTTTTACATCAACTTCTTGGATAGGAATCTGATAATGGATTCTTCCTGCTGCCTTTATCTATTGTTGGCTGTGTGACTGTGCATGCCGGTAAGTGTGTTTAACCTGTGGGCACTGATACTTCATGCAAGTCAAACCTGTTCAGTTAGCCTTGTGCTTTAGTGAGACTACCCTCTTTGTAGTTGTGTGTTTGTTTGTATGCATGTGTGCATATTAGACAAAAAAGGAACTTGCATATTGTCTGTATGCATGACTTCCAGGTTAAAGGAGAACCAAACTATGAGCTAAATACCCCGTTATTGCGGCAATAAAGTGCTTTTACTATGACCGAAACTAGCAATTAAGCTAAAAATGTGGGTTGCTCGAGAGTTATTCTATTGTGCGAAATGACTCATCACTGAAACTAAATGTCTCCTCTTACATTAATGCCAGAGGATGACCTTGTCCTGATCAACCAACCAGAGGCTGACGAAACGGCCTGAAGCTAACGTTTAACTATCAGCAAACAGAAGACAGACAGGAACCTTCCTCCCTCGGATAACCTCCAACTATCAGCTGTTAATGTATGCATGTGTACTTAGCACTGGTGTGTTTTATTCAGTCAGTTACAGCTCACTTTGATGGTGTAACACTTAGACTAGTTTCTTCATAGCTAGTCAGGATGTATTTGAACACCATGCCAACATATTTAAGTTTTCTTATTTCCTTCACTACAATATTAGCTTGATTGACATGCCATGTAACAATGCTAAATTGTGCATTTATTCTAATGTTATTAAAAATTAAAGGTCCCCTATTATACTGTTTTACATCAATATATTATAGGTTCCAGATATATACAAAACATGTCTCTGAAGTGTTTGGCTTGAAATACCAAAGAGATCGTGCATTTAGCATCCCATAAACCCCTCTCCTCCCCAGCCCTGTTCAAAAGTGCTGATTCTCTGTCTGTTACTTTAGATGAAAATAAGGAGCCACTCCCCACTCCCCTCTGAGAGATATTTGGTTAAAAAGAACACAATGGTGCTCTAGGAGGAGATTCAGGTGATAAGGGGGGGGGGGGGGGGTTACCTTGGTTTGTTATTGGCTAATGGTTACACAAGCCAAAACATCGTTATGACATCATAAAGTGGCTAAAATCTGATCAGCTCATTTTCAGACAGGTTTTTGGATCAGGATAAAAAGTGAGCGAATATTTTTTCCTGAAACTTTCAGAATCTCTTTACACAGAGGGGACACATTCATGAAAAAGTGGATTTTGCATAATAGGTGACCTTTAAGATGTGATTTATGTCTTGCTTAATTATAGCTTCTTTTTTCTTTTTTTTAAATGAAGTCTAGTTCTTTAGAACCAGTGGATCAGATACATATTACTAGAAGTGAGGTTAGCAGTGGGTGCATGCCTAGCTCCTGGTGTTTATGACAGACAGACAGCTCCTGAAAGACTTCATTTACAGCACCGCTTCAAAAGCCAACAAGCTGCCACTGCTGACAAAGCCCATTCTAATGCACAAGGGAGGCCATGAAACAGAAATAGCAACATTTAAAAATAGGCTTTACTCACGGAAGAAGTCTTTCTTTGCCAGGTTCTTTGCACACAGGACTGGAAGAAAAAACAATATAGAGATGTGTTAATGTTAATGAGTTGGGCACACATTAGGAAATAAATATGAGATATTATAGCAAACACGAACGTTAAACTTGTCGGTCACCAAATATACAACGTCAGCTTTCAATGGTACATAATTGAGCCTCAGAACATTGTCACAGTACAAGCGAGTACACATCTGTCAACGATATTGTTCTATTCATATTATTTTTGAAGCACAGATGTAATGCGTACATTTTGGGAAACATCTTCCTTGGGCTTTTCTCTGGTAATATTTTTTGAAAAAAGACCATCTTACTCAATGATTTCATTATTTATCAACATTTCTCTTAGCTGTAAAACTTGACACATTTTTCTTTGAATAATTGCTGCTGTCTTTTTTGCCAACATATTGGTTTGTCCATCCTCACTGTCCCGTCACAGGCAAGTCTTAAGAGTTTCTCCTTGTGAAATATTGAGAAGACAAGCACTCATTTCTGTCTGAGGCAACTCCCTGGGGGTTTGCATCACAGACAACATACAATAGCTTTCAAAAGAGACAGAGAAGGTGGGACAGACAGTCTGTGTTTGCCTGCTGTTGTCTTTTTTCATACATATAAATCTTCCCCCCTTGGAGCTGGCTAGACAATTCTCGGACAATTATAGAGCGAGACAAAGCAGGCCAAGCAGAAACGATTAAGAGAGCAAGGGCCGACAAAACTAACACGACAAAGGTTAAAAATATTAGAGAACTGTAAAATAAAGTAAAATAACCATAACATGCTGACAGACCAGGATCCTTATCAGTTCTGTGTCACTAGCCGCGTTCACACCAAGTACTTTGCTGTACTTAGTGCCGGCACTTATTACCCCGGGGCACTAAGTACAGATCGCGTTCACACCGGAATAAGTTCCCTGAGGGAAGATTACGCAAATGAGCCACTGACGTCACTTCGTCTTCTTCTGCTTTGTATACTGCCACCCGAAGTCCCCGGCCGGAAGTCCCCGGAGTTGGGGACTGGCTTCAGTAGAAGCTGCTGGGACTCCCAGCAGCTTCTACTGAAGCCTTCCGAGTAAATCGCCAGAACGCCGACACCTCCTCATCTCCACCGCTCCCATGTTTTATTTTGTGTTGCCATAAGTTAGTCTCTCTGCGTTTGTGTGCTGGGCGAATGCTAATGCTAATAATGCTAATGTGAGGATAATAAAATGGCGGCTCTACAAAAACATTTCAGAGTTTTACGGGGCGTGGTTTGCAATTCGCCCAGCCAATCAGAACTGGGGCACTTTTTCCCCCCAGGAAAGTACCATCTCTCAGCAGGCACTAAAAATGGGGGTAAAAGTTCCCGGCTTGAAGTACTCTTTTTGGTATGAACGCGACATAAGGGGTACTAACGGAACTAAACGCGAAAAGTACGGGGAAAAGTACGGGGAAAAGTACGGGGAAAAGTACTCCGGTGTGAACGTGGCTAATGTGCTGCTTAACTTTGAGCAAAGAGACTAAAAGTTAAGTGCTTCCAGCCATCCATCCATTTTATAAACTAAATTCTTTCTATTCCTGGCCAAAGGGAAGGCACTTCCATCTCTTCAACAACGCAGGTACAGGTGACCCCCTCTCAGGTGACCCCTTTCTTTCCAACCGTATCAAAACCTTAGTCTCTGGGCAAAGAGCAACTTCAACATGTTAAACAAATAATGTAGATCAGACCTTTTGCAGTGCCCAGGAAGCTTAATGAGATTTGAAAAAGGCATTCGTCTGAAAATACGAGGTAAAAACACAAATCACATATTTTTCTGCGTTTCATCTTCTTGGCATTACTTTCTGCCACGTCACTTCTTCTACCATTTCCTAATACAGCCACAAGCCAGTGAAAATACCACAAGATTAGATGTTTAAAAAAGGCGCTGACATACCCAATACTAAATGGGATCTTTTCCGAAAACCAGACATATAAAAGGCTTCCAAAGGGAATATTGTCCAACATCTACAACATAATGTAAAGCCTGTAGTGAGAGTGCTATTGTATGCCGTCTGCATTATTTACAGCAGCCAACTATGCATGCACTAGCCACATTTAGAAAATAAGAAACAGTCTATACTTAGTGCTCAAAAGAGAGGATCCTTTTGCAGTTATCTAACAGATGGTCAGAAAGCTGGTGTGTTTTTTTGACCATTTCATTTTATACAGGCTTAATTACATTCAGACCCTGGAGAAATCATGTCAATAGATTACACTTTAGATCATGTTAAAGCATGTGAACCTGCCATGATTCAGAAACAAGCAGCACTTCAGAAAAAGATACGGACAGGCAGAGGAAAACAACCTAGCATTACACCCATTCAATGTGGAGATCTTGACGGTGACCAAAATGACACAGTCAAGACAATTCAGACAGAATCACAACATGGGAACAGACTCTCAACACAAACCAAATGACACCGAGCGGGCCAACTGGATGAACACTAACCATCAGCTTGTCAGGGGAAATTACACCGCCAAAGCCGACAGTCTGGGTGCAGGCCAAATCCGAGACAGCCAGAAAAGCCTCTTGTTGGACAAACGGACACTGTGTTGTCGGCAGACACGAGAAAAACAGGATGGACAGAGGCCTGACATCTTGGCAGAACATTTGTGGACAGAGAGTCCAACTCAGCCCCCAAAGTGAAAATGGGTCCACATAACCCTTTCTGTGAATATATGAGCAGATTTTGTACGCACTTTGTGCAGCAGATGTTAAGCACAAGCATAATCCTATCTGTCGGTTTTGAAATGTTATTTAAAAAGAGGCCCAGAGGAGATTTCTTGAAAACAGAAGTTATGTTCACATTTCATTTTAACAAAACAGATTGTGTGTACCCTTGTATGGCAAGCCGATTTGGCTTTTATTAATTTCTGGAGGATATCAAAAAAGTCATTCTTACTAGTAAGAATGCGAATTCTTGATATCAAAAATGCAATTCTTACCAGTAATAATGTTTATTTCTGATATCAAAAATTGAATTTTAACTAGTTAGAATGCAAATTCTTGGTATCAGAAAATCAATTGTAACTATGTGTATTCTTGATATCAGAAATGCGATTTTAACTAGTGAGATTTGCATCGTTTTTCTCATTCATTTCAATGGGAGTAGGAATTTGAACTAGTTCAAATGCCAATTTCTGATATCAGTAATTCAATTGTTACTAGTTACAATTACATTTAAACTAGTAAAAATACAAATTTCTGATATCAAGAATTCTATTTCAACTAGTCGAAATGCCAATTTCTGATATCAGAAATTCAATTGTTTATCAGAAATACAATTTGAACTAGTTGTATTTCTGATAACAATTGAATTACTGGTATCAGAAATTGGAATTTGAACTAGTTCCTACTCCCATTGACATGAATGAGAAAAACGATGCAAATCTCACTAGTTAAAATCGCATTTCTGATATCAAGAATACACATTACAACTAGTTACAATTGAATTTCTGATATCAAGAATTTGCATTCTAACTAGTTAAAATTCTATATTTGGATATCATAAATAAATATTATTACTAGTAAGAATTGCATTTTTTTTTATATCAAGAATTCGCATTCTTACTAGTAAGAATTGATTTTTTGATATCCTCCAGAAATGAATAAAAGCTAAATCGGCTTGCCATACCCTTGAGGTCCAACAAACGTGTCACGAGCTTTCCTTCCTCATAAAACATTAGCATTGCCGATTTATTCCCCGGCTACTAAACTACTTCAAAACTATGGTATATGAAATCAATAGCTTGTTATAACTCACTTTTAGATTTTCCCAAAGCTTGTGTCACTGGGTTTGTTGTGGGTGCTCACAACTGCTTAAGCAATACTGGTAAGTAGCTATTAGGTTAAACCGAGTCTGCTGAGCAATAATACAGACTTGGCTCTCTAGTTACCAAACTATGCTAATGAAGATTAAGGGATTAACCTGCACTCTGCTCCAGTGTCTCAGACACAATTGCCACAGAGGGGAAAGCCTGTCTCATTGTCACCCATGGCCTCTCGGCACACACAGCTGCACCAACAGCAGACTGCTGCTACTGATGAAAGTGATGCATGGGTTCAAAGGAGGCATACATTAGAGCAAAACAACGGAGCAATAATGACAACCAGAGCCAAAGTTATCAGAGATAAAATTACCAGGGTACTGCGAGTACCATGAGCAGAAAGGTTAAGCCATATGGAAGTGTGAGTGCATTAGCGTGTTAGCGTTAAGTGGTCTTTAAATTAGAGAGCTGCATTAGAAATGGGCCGATGAAAATGTAACTCCTAAAATCTGGAGGAGCCTATTATATAAAAGGCTCCTTTGCTTTGGGTCAAAAAGTCTCTCTTTTAATCTTCCAGCAATTTAGCAGTCACAATTTAAAAAACACTGCCAACACTACAAATGACTTAAATTACAAAAGAGTAGAAAAGTTAAAGAAAGTCAGTATATTTTGAAAGCAAGGGCGGCCTGAGGAATGTTTAGAAAACCTCTATTTGATTGATTGTAGCCAATACTACCTCAACATATTTGAATATCAGTTTAGAGAAGCCCAACAAGGGTTTAGATAAACATGCCTAAATATGTGGATAATCTTATCTGGGTTTAGGAAGACTCTACCATTGTGAAACCAGGAATCAATAAGGAATCACATCTGATCCCAGCCCCCTGTGATCCAGCAGGCTTGCCAAGTGAGCAGGTCATGGTGACCAGACTCATTCAGATCCTAACATGGAAAGCTAGTTCAACGATCAGGAAGCCCTGGGGTCAAGCCGTCTCAGTGTGGACCATCAACCCCATCACAAACCCTCATTTTAACAGTAAGACGGACAATAGGCCTGGCTGAACCACTGTCCTGTAAACAGCTAAGCAGGTGATAACTGTGCCAAAGGACACTTTTATTAATGGTGGGGATTCTGCAAAGACTTCTTCTGATGTCTACTATACTAAAAAGGCCTACAATTCATTCTCAACCTTTTGTATCGACAAGTTTTAACCATAGAATGGTTTA